GAGCCTTCCAGACTCTAAAGGAGTACTCAAGCCCAAGCCAGGCCCTCACCTAAGGGACTGCTAGAGAATGGGAGCCAAACTGAAGGGTGAATTGATCTGTGGCCCGGAAATGACCCAGACACCCAGATTTCAGATAGGACCTTGAAGTCAGGGCTGGTCCTTTACAAGCAAGACTTACCGGTCATCCCTGAGAGGTGGGGTGCTGATCTGTGGTGTCTTCCTGTGGCTCCAGCCATGTGGACAGCAGCCACGAAGTCACTGGGGCTCGGTGGGTCAGCAGGGGCCAAAGCAGGACCACAGGTACCTTTTCCATATAAGCTAAACTAGACATTGTAATGGTCCTCTAGGACAGTGGTTCTCAACCTGTGGGTCTCGACCCCTTTGGGGTCTAATGACCCTTTCACAGGGGTCACCCAATTCATAACAATAGCAAAATGACAGTGATGAAGTAGCAATGAAAATAATCTTATGGTTCGGGGTTCACCACCACACGAGAAACTGTATGAAAGGGTCGTGGCATTAGGAAGTTTGAGAACCACGGCTCTAGGACCTCCACTGAGAAACCATGAACACAAGTGTCCTAATGTTTCAATGTCAAGTCACTCTGGTGGCTGTGCCAAGCAGTTAAGACCCCCTCATGCCCATCCACCCTCACATTCACATTGCTCTCTGGACTCCAGTTCCTGGCCTCTGTCAGTCTGTCCTAATTGCCTTTTAGCAGCCCTGAGGAGATGTGACTACAACGTGCTCATTAGATTCATCCGGTTTCTGGAGAGGTCAGAATTAATACATAAACTGGGGTAATGGAGGTGAGCCCAGCCTCTGGGTTTCCATGTTAACTCCCTGACATTGTTGCTCCTGAGGAGCTTGATTAGACAGTGGCACCTGGCAGCCCATGACTCATCTTTCCTTTCTCTCCTGAATTTTATTTATTGTAATGGCAATATCACAACATCTGAGAACCTTTTAAGACATGAGTAATTCCAATGCCTCTATGCAAATAGCTTTTTAAAAACCTTGGCCACACATACGCAATTGTGTTTTTCTCACTTAAAAATATAGCTGTTACATTCTTTGTGCTGTTACTCAGACTTCACAACCACAATTTTTAAGAGACATAGTTTACTCAGCTATGACCAAATCAGCTGGATGCTCTAACATAACCCACTGTAAAAGGGTTCTTCCCATTTCCTGCCCGCTTCGTTTGCATGTCCTTCACGGGCATTTTCAGAAGTAAGATAATCCACCCATTCAGACACTATGTATGGGTTTGTATTGGGGCCGTTGCCTGTCACATCCTCCCCCTTGCATGTCAGGGCTATTTATGGATGCGTTCACACAGGACACATTCTGCTTGAGGCTGCCTGCCGTACCCTGGCTTCTTACAGGGACAGTAGCTCTCCCCGATTAGCTGCGGACTTTTGGAAAGAAAGGTTAGACTGCTCAAGGAAAATGGGAAAGAATGGTTGGTGTGAAATCTCATGGGAAATTCCATTGTCTGTTGGGATTTGCGCAGGGATTTTGTCTGGCTACATCAATATTAACTTTCTGTCTGACCATTCTGTAGAGACCCAGTAGTTAGTGTCAGGGGATGATGGGATAGGAAGTAAGAGCAGAGGTCCTTAAGCATCCACATTTCATCTCAACAAGAAGCATCAGGGGACTACGAGTGACCAAGAAGTCGCAGTTGAATAATACGAGGGGACTTTAAGAAGACAGCAGAGACACACGGAAACAATGAATCCAATGGACTGATGGACCACAGGAACATCGGCCTTCATGATCCCCCCTCCCACTGTTAGCTGCTCTGAGAGGGGTCACATCGGCAAGGCCTGGAGAGAGGGGGAGACAGATCTGGTACAGAATTCAAAAATCACAAAAATGTCCAGGTTTCCTGGTTGGATAGAGACTGGTGGAATCCTGAGATGGTCGTCCTTCCTGACCCTTCAGGTTTGGAAATGATCTCATCCCCATGCCTCCGCCAAACAATACACAGATCTATGGGGGGGACCCACATCTTAGAATAATCCACTCTTTATGATCACAGGGGCAGCATTTACTCAAGGACAAAGTGCAGAGGGCTTGGGAAAGGTGGAATGGAAACCCTGTTTTCCTGGACAGTGAAATTCCTTGAGCGTTCCAGCCTTTCTTTCCCCAAGTCCTGCCTTTCACAAGCAGGGAAAGCAGCTGTCATGGTAATAAGCCCAGGAAGAGTGGAAATACTCATGGAAAAATTCCATGATCTTTTACTTCAATTTTCCCACGAACTTTTTGAAGCCCCCTTATAGCTTTCCTTGGTTTAACCTTGAACAAGAGGCACAAGAGGCTGGAAGGCCAGAAATAGACTCACTTCTAAGAGTCAGCTCTTTTTAAGTCAGTATTGATTATCTCAAAAGGAATTATTCTTCAAGGGCAGTGAAGAGCCATCTGACGAGTTGTGGGTTCTTGCCTCATGAACTAGTCTTTACTGACTCATGAAGGGCTGATGAGGAAAAGGGATGAGGATGCATCTGACATCTGAGCTCTTCCCCGGTGGCGGCATAGCTCAAGCTGGAGGCACATGGATCTATTCTAAGATGGCCAGAAAATGTGCTAATCAAGGAGGCTCTTCGCCTTGTTCCCATGGAGTTGGTGCCAATTCACGGTGACCTTCTGTTGAATGGAATGACATGTTGCCAGGCCTGGTACCATCTTCCTGGTCGTGCATGGGCTTTGTATCCTTTGTTGCAGCTCTCATGCAGTGCCTTCTCACGGAAGGGCCTCCTCCTCTAGCCCCGTATCAGACAAGGGTCTTTGCGGCCCATAGGGTTTCCTTTGGCTAATTTTGGAAGTAGATGACCAGGGCTTTCTACCTATCTCATTGGTTAAAGCATGCATACATCTGATGGAATTCATATACCTGATATACTTTCTGACATCGGAGGAAACGAAAGATAGGCTTGTTTTGAGGCAAGAACCCCAAACCCCATCTATATTAGTCAAAATGGACCACTGACACTTGTCCACCATGGGTGACCCTGTTGGTATTTGAAATATCCGTGGCAAACCTTCCAGCATAGCAGCAACACAATAACAAAGGGCTAGGGTTGATTATCGATGCCTCCTAGCTGGTTGTTGGAGTATTGAGGGACCTTAGAAGTGGCTGGAGTTAAAATGTATATTTAAGAATCCAAAGAATACTTTTCATTTACAGGACTCCCCTCGTTGGTATTTTTACACAAGCAGCCATCATATTATTTATTCATAGCATGCTCCCTTTTGATAAGATATGTTAGTCTTTTAGAACAGTTGTGGATTTATAGGATAAACTAGTCAGGGAATACAGAGAGGCCTCATAAGCCTCTCCCCCTCCTACACGCATTCTCTTCTGTTTTTAACATGGCAGCACCCCGGTTACAGATGTGGGGTACATTGGTACGATAGAAGAGTTAATATTGAGAATTGTTATTGACCTAGGTCCATGATGTGCACTAGGTGGGCTTCGCTCTTTGTTTTGTTCCATCCTATGGGTTCTGACATGCATGATGTCATGTTTTGACAGGAATAATGCCACGTGTCCACCGTGACAGTACCACACAGAATATGTCCACTGCCCTTAAAATACCCTGAGTCTTACCTATCCGTCTCGCCACATCTCACCATTGCCCCATGTGAACCAGTGGTCATTTTAGGACCTTCCTGACTCTGTATATGACTACCACTTCATTCAGTTGACCTTTATTGAACATTCTTTGCTAAAGCCTAGAGGTGCAGAGTTGAGAGAGATGTGACCATGCCAGATGCGCGCTTTCAGTCAAGGATAAGAATCCAATGTACTTGGAGCCAGGGAGAACCGAGCAGAGAACACACTCATGTGGAGTGTGGACAGGGGAGCCGGCATCGGACTTGCCATGAGAAGGGAAGGATGGGGCCAAGGTCAGGAGGCTCAGGTTCCAAGACTAACTCATTACCAAGTTGAAAATACGCATCCAATACTCCAGTTTTAATAATTCTTCAAATAACTCATGTTATTTGAAAGCAGAAACTGCTTAATTGCTCTAATGATATTGCATAATTTATACTTTTCACCAATATAAATGATCCTTTCTCACCGTATTGCCACTTCACGCAACTTTAATAGACCAATACCAACCACTCTTTTATTTCCCACATGTCGGAAAGTATATTAGGTATGAGTGTTAGAATTATGACAATGAGGTGACTCAACAGTTAATTATTTTGTTTGAGGTGAGTAGATGCTTCTAACGACTGAAGAGGAAAGACCGGGGATTTAAAATAACCAAATGTTTTTTATTTTGATTGCTTAATAAACAGAAATAATTTCTATTGTCTCTTGAGAGTCTGTGAATTGTCCTGAAAGTGAGGCGGCAGTTTGATCCACGGCCATGTCATGTAAAGAGCGGCGGATGTCTGGACTGGTTAGCGGGATTGTCTAAGTGTTGGACTAATTGGAACAGGAAGAATAGGCTTCAGCTGTG